AGTAAAAAACCCAGATATGATATGTACCTCCCAACAAATATTGCTAAAACTCAGGATGTCCCGCTGAACGTTACCATTTTCTTCGGTAATACCGGTCAAAAGGACAGGGCCACTTTTATGAATAAAAATATTCCTGTACGGTTATCCTAAGCTTGTAGAAACCTACAGAAATCAAGTTCTACAACACCGTTTAACAATAAAAAACCCAGATATGATATACCTCCTAACAAATGTTGCTAAAATTCAGGATGTCCCGTTGGACGGTACTATTTTCTTCGGTAATACCGGCCAGCGGGACAAGACAAATTGATAAGACATTTATAAAAGGATTGCTTACTATACAGGACAAAGAACACTTCAAACTCACAATAAACGCAAACTGCGTCAACAATACCGTAAATCACGCTTCTCTGGCGATAAAACGGCTCCTTTGGCTGTCAGTTTTCACCATCTTGAGCCGCCATATTGGATGTTTTCGAGAATTTCCGAAGTCGGCCCGAATCGGAAACTCGTTCCTAGTACTCCTCGGCTGTCCTTCAGGCTCGGGAAATTATTAGGATTTGGACAAAACGCGCGTGAAATTATTCCCTAATTTCACTCGTCACCATTTGATTACACATACTAACTTGACTCCGAGACTTTAGGGTCAAAATTGCAAATTTTTCACGACTCCATTGTCTCGCAATTCCCAGAAGGGAAGGAAACCAAAGAAAACCAATCCATGTATAGAAAAATGACCAGAAAGCCTCAGTCATGTCAGAATTGGGCTATTGCTGTAAAATTTGAAACCCTATTTTCTCGGGTTCTCATAAGAAATTGTCTTTGGTGTCATTATATATAACTAATTATATCTATAACCCTTGAAAAGTGAAAAAGAATGTGATATCGTTTAAATTACTGTTGCACAAATTTTTTGTCCTCTGAAAATTAACATTACTCCGTTTCCTGATGGATTCCGTCTTAAAGTATAAAATCGCCTAAAATTTAAACAAGAAAGTGACAGATTTTTTTAGACTTTACATCGAATACACACTTCATGGCTTATCCTCAAAAATAGGCTTATTTGATTCACGCAGGAGCCCATAAGTGAGAAACGTACTCAAGGAATGTACTAGCGAAAACAAGCGGCAGAGCAAATCCAACGAAACAATTACAGCGAGATCATTTTTTATTCCATGCCAGAAGGAAAGCCAGGATCGAGACTAAAGTGTCTATGAAGATTCTTTTTTTTTTCTTTTTTTCATCATAAAAACCTTGCAGAGTTCATGTTTGCGCCGGCTTCGGTACGTATTGTTTCATAATCTCGAAGCAAGACTTTCGCTTCAAGCTTTCTTTTTACAACCAACACGATAACCGAGTATTCTTTAAAACATGTTTTTCCACTTGCGTTCAGAAAATTACTAAAGGTTTAAGTTAAGTATTTTAAACCTGGTAATCGTGAGACCAAGGTACCGTTTCGAATCTTATAAATTCAACATCCAATGATAATCCAAGTCAGACTTTATGAAACCAGAATTTAGCCAGACAAAAAGATATAAGCCTATTACATGAGCTCACCTGAGATTTAGCTCTTAAAACCATCAACTGAGTCCAGAAAATCGCTCATGGCTTTTTCTGTATTGTTAATAATGTCTTTAACTTTAAAAAGCACATCCACTTTTAAGCAAAGGGCAGATAGTTTTTCTCGCCAACTAATTCGAAACTTACGATTTCATTTTAGTTCATTTAATGTGATTAAAACCTCAATCTTGAATGTACACCTTGAGGGGTTTACACCTTAACCCGGGATACGGTCATGTCATACTGGTCGGTTGAGGGCTCCCACACTGATAAGAAGATTTGGTCTCCCTTGGTGCGGGCGGACGGATGGTCGGACATAAGGTCACATGATTACCAAAATTCCTCGAAAGCATTGAACCGAATTCTATCATCCATGGTGCTTAGCTGTCGGTGAGCTCTTTCGCATGAGCTCCGCTATTAAATTTGCCTTTAGCTTATGCTAAAGTTGCTTTGACATCTCTTTATCTTCTTCGACATCTCTGCAAGAAGGGTTTTTGATATATTAAATACACAAGTGAGCCGTGCCTTTTTACTAGCCATCAAATAAATCAGGCAAAACTATTTTTCTAGTTCTTTTCTTCTACTTTCTCTTTTTCTTTTTTTCTTTCTTTTTTTACTATGTTTTTTTTTAGTGAGATATCCTCCTAAGAAGGACAGACTTTGCCTGCCTATTAAAGACAGTCTCTTGTCTCCTGCAGAACGGCACCAATTCTTAAACATCGTGATATAGTTCTGAAGAGGGTTTTCCATATGTTCCTAGTGTAAAAAAAAAATGCCAGGTCTTTTATATTCAATACGAGAACTGTATTGTGACTGCACTACGAGAATCAAAACTTATTTTAAAAGAATAACTTTTCCGGATTTTTTTTCGCCTGGAGTGGATTTATTTATTCTCTCACCGGCTTTTTCTTTGATAACAGCGAAAATTAAATAAAATCAGACTGCTTAATCGAGCAAAAAGCAAAATTGTTGTCAGGTTAGTCGTCAAGTTAATTAGTGATAGTCATCTCTTACTCCTTAGGCAAAAAATACACACACTTTCTTATCTAGTTTAAGACACTTTATTGGTGATTTGCATCCTGTGAATTACACGCACAGTAATGCTGTCGATATTCCGTCTGTTACTTTGCATTTCCACCCAAACTTTAGTCATGCATATTTCGCACACTTCTAAACATCAGTAGACGATATTAGTTGTAATTTTTGTATCCTGTATCACATTGCGTCAAAATTCCATAAGCTTTACAGTAACAGCTCTGTGTATTGTCGCGTAGTCTGCACTCGGAGTCTGAGGTTGAATCTGAAGTTTGACTTGATAAGTAAATTCGTCATGTTGCCCCGCTTTTTTCTCACCCTTTAAGACTTCTGTTTAACAGCATCATGGTCCTACTCACACTTCGTGTTCTTCGTAACTCGCCGCTTGTATCGTCTCGCCTAGGCCTAGTTTTCTTTTCGTTTTGGGTTGTAGTTGCTTGCCATTTCTGAAATCCGCAAATCAAATCAATTGCGAGAAGCAAATAAAGCAAACAGACAAGCGCCAGAGTAACATCCATCGAATTTAGCTCAATGCTTCGCTTATTCCACGCCAAACTGTATCAATGTAGGTGAAACGCTCCTCTTTCCTCTGCAGTGAATTCTAAAAAGTATGGTTCAACCGATCAATCCGCAGATAAACGAACACAATCATCGCCGATTCTCGCCAAACAAAGGGCAGCGTGAGTTTTTACGTGTAAGATTCACCTGCAAAAATAATTAACTCCTTTTCAGTTCCGTAAACAGATTCAGGATTTAAATACTTGTAACTTATTCCAACGCACGCTCATTTCCTGTTCTTGTGACAACGGCATTTACTTGTGAATGGGTTTAGGCGATTTTGTTTAAAATAAGTTAGGACAATTTCCTTTTTGAAAGATCCCAGTAAAGTTTCTAAGCATAATAAATTGCGGCCTGTTGTCTTAGCCACGAATTCATGCTTTTAGCGTCGTCAATTAAGATTTAAAAGAAGTAAGATGATTAAAAATCTTCCATTGCGGAAATTGACAGCTAAGAATATCTCAATTATGAAATTGCGGAGTTGCTTTTAGTGAGGGTTTATTTGAGAGAACCACTCTATATTCGCGCTTAAACCTTCCTATATTTTTTCCTGCTTTAATATTCTGTGCATATCCGCTATCAATTTTCAACACCATCGCTAATTAAACGGGATTTGGGCTTTGATCTGCTGGCTTGCAGATATTGATTAACTGGCTCTCTATATTGTTGTTTTGTCATGTCGCGACGAAATTCATAACCTCAAGAATTAATTTAACTCTTGGTCTCAAGTAAGAATAAGATTATCTATAGAATGTCTCGCTTAGTGTACTGTCTTATCATTTTTCATCGCTTGTGGCGCGACCACATTTATTTTTCATAAATTTACAGTGAAGCTTTGAAAATTCAAACTAATCAGTTATCACTTACCACCTTTCGCATAGCTCCAAGCGCATACAACGGAGTAAATCTCGCAAAATAAACTCCAGTTTTGGACAAGGACTGGATTCAGGGCACTCACGGCCGACCACGTTTTATGGCTGCCTTGTTTTATTTAAGTGGACGGTTACTGATCCAAAAAGAAACAAACAAAGAACAGAACATGTTAATTTAAGAAGGAAGACTGCCATTTAAAAAATAAAAAACTCAAGACAGCCACAACCAGTATGTCTCTTTGGCAGAACGTTTTTTTGGCTCGTCATGCAATCGTCCCCAGCGATGAGGAGAATGTGTGAATTTTCGTGAAACGACTGAGCAGAAGCTTATCCTTGGCAAATATAATGTCAAAAATGCTAGGAAACCATTCCAGTACGAGCCTAGTTTTTTTACAGCCTCAAATGTTATTGAAGTTCTTTTAAAAGTTCAGTCTTGCCATTGACTTATTACTATACATGTATTATTGCTTTGAATCACAATGCACTGTAGGAAGACATTCCTCCTCTGCTGGGGAGCGCGGTAACCATGGTTACGTCAAGGGGAAAAAAATAAGCCGAAAATATTGCCCATTTTATCAGTAACAATGAATTTTTTTTTCACATAAATTTCAAAAGGCTGGGGAAAAGAATTGTCGTACTTGTTGAAAATGAGTCTTTTTGATTGCGCCACTTGTATTGGTATCCTTCAGTCTCGAAAGACTCATGTCGCGCTCTGATTGCTGGTTCTCGAACAGCGCCTTGTGTGGTTGGAAAGAACAATTCAGGAATTATATTAATTTTTTCAGTTGCTGGTCTATCTTTCTGACAATGTTTTTGTCCCACGGATAAGTCATGTCAAAGGCTTACATGTCCGAGCTAAATTTCTACCTGTCCCGGACGATCGGACATCATCGATCGTTTTGGCGCACCCTGCTTCCTCGTTTGTCACTTTGTCTCACCCTGTTCAGCAAGTGTCTCTTCAAACTCGCAGAGGTCTTACCCTACTGCTTGCTTCCAGTCTGAACGTTCTGAAGCCAAGGTTTCCCATCCGTTGATGTCAATGCCCAAGGCCTTCAGATCCCTTTTGCAGACATCTTTATAGCGTAATTGGGGCCTGCCGGTGGGGCGCTTTCCTTGAGTCAATTCTCCGTGAAGGAGATCGTTTGGGATCTGGCCGTAATCCATTCTTACAACATGGCCAAGCCGGCGCAATCGTCTCTGTTTCAGTAGTGTATACATGCTGGGAGTTTCAGGTCGCTGAAGGACTGTGTTGTTTCGAACTTTGTCTTGCCAGGTAATGCTGAGTATGCGTCGGAGACAGCGCATCTGGAAAGTGGTAAGCTTCCTCTCCGTTCGTGCGTGAAGAGTCCAGGACACGCTGTCGTGCAGCAACGTGCTCAAAACGCATGTTCTGTAGACCTGGATACTGGTACTTTCCGTCACCTTTTTTTTGACCGTACTATCTTGGTCTAGCTTGAAATGGTAGTAGTTGCCTTTGCCGATGCGCCTATTAAGCTATGAGTCCAGAGAAAGAGTACCAGAGATCGTTTAGCCAAGGTGTACAAAGTCATGGACAACCTTCCGTTCATGCCCCAAGATTGCAATATTTGGAGGTGAGTTCATTTCCTGAGCCATGACCTGTGTTTTCTTAAGGCTGATGGTCAGTCCAAGGCCTTGGCAGGCCTTGCTGATGCGGTTCATGAGTTTCTGAAGGTCTTCGGCTGAGTGGGCGGTAACGGCTGCACCGTTGGGAAAGAGGAGATCACGCAGACATTTCATTTGGACTTTGAGCTTTCTGTCTGACCTGGACGGAGGTAGATGCCCTCTGTTGCATTTCCAAATGTTTGCTCCAGCAGGAAAGCGAAGAAAATTCCAAATAAGGTTGGAGCGAGGACGAAGCCCTATTTCACTCCACTTCGGATGTCAGAAGGGTCTGATATTGAGCCAGCAAAGACCACAGTGCCCTTCGTGTCATCGGGAAGGCCTCTAATGATGCTGAGGAGCCTGGGTGGACATCTGATCGTGGGCAGAATCTTGGATAGGCCGTCTTTGCTTATCAGGTCAAAAGCCTTCGTGAGGTCTATGAAGGCTACGAAGAGTTTTTGCCGTTGTTCCCTGCATTTCTCCTGCAGCTGTTGGAGGGAGAACACAATATAAATGTTTGACCTGTTGGATCGGAAACCACGTTTCTAGGTAGACTCCAAACTTGGTCCCTTTTCTGTGCTACTCGGGCAAACAGCTTCGCTATGATGCTAAGGGGGGAGACGCCACGGTAAGCTTAAGTTTAATAATACTTTGTCATGCTAATACAAGTAAATTAGTTAAATAAGAATACAAAGCGTTCATGATTGGAGAATAATTGTGGGAAATTGGCGATTGGTAATTGTTTCAGTCACTCCTATCGCCTTTGTTCTTGTGCAGGGTGACGATGTTTGTATCCCTCATGTCCAGTTTCCCTTCACCTTCTTTTCAGCACAGACAAAGGATTTCATGTAGCTCAGAGATGATGTTTTCTTTCCAGCACTTCAGGGCTTCGGCAGGAATGCTGTCATTTCCAGGTCCTTTGCCAGAGGCAAAGGCAAGTGCCCTGTTTAACTGTTTAAGGGTTGAATTACTGTCAAGCTCCTCCAACACAGTAAGGCACTTGATGGCGTTCAGTGTTTCATCTGTAACTACATTCTCTCTCGATTATAACTCTGAGTAGCGTTGTACCCAGCGTTCCATCTGAGCCGCCTGTGGCGGACTTCAGAAGGGGAGTTTTCTTCTTTGTTGGACCTAAGGCCTGCTTAACACCATCATACATCCCCTTAATGTTGCCTGCACCAGCCACTGACCGTATCTGAGAGCAGGGCTGAGGCCAGTAGTCTTTTGCACATTTCCTGGCGGTCTGCCAAACTTTGCTGTAAGCGGCTCAGAGGGCCTGCAGGTTACGTTTGCTGGGACAGGCTTTGTGCGCTGCCAGGGCTCTTCTCTTTTCAACAATGACTGGTGTCATCTCGTCAGAGTGGGATTCAAGCCATTCAGCGGTCTTGTTGGTCTTCCTGCCAAAAATGGACCTGCGGTGCTGTGAACAACTTTCTTAAAGTGTTCTTATCTATCAAGCGGGCCTGGAAAAGATTCCTCAAGCGCACTTGAAAATTCCCCCACCTAACCCTGTTCAAGGGTTTTGCTGGTGTCAATGAGAGACCCTCCCTCCTTTTTTGTGCGATAGTTTCTTTGTTCGCACTTTTACTCTGCTGCAGACGAAGGAGTTGTCCGTATCGCAATAAGCACCCTGATAACCGCGTTTGATCTTGATGCTGGAAAGGCTGGTGAGAATCGGGTCAAGCTGGTGTCAGTGCTTAGAACTTGGGTGTCTCCAGGGACTCTGTTTTGGGGCTTGGTATGTAAACACGTTTTACTGACACGGAGGCTGTGATGACAGCATAGCTCCAGCAGGCGTTGGCAAATTTCGTTCATCTTCCCGATGCCTAAGTGACCCAAGCAAGTGGGCCATAAGCTTGATCAGCACCAACTCTGGTGTTGAAGTCACCGAGAATGAACTTCCGCTTTTTTCAGGGATTCCCTTGACGATGGATGCCAGTTCGTCATAGAATTTGTCCTACACTTCTCCTGGGATGACAGAGTCGCAGAATAGGCAGTGATCAGATTGACAGGACCTACGGATGAGTGAAGTTGCAGTGACAAAATTCTTTCACTTCCATCTGCACTTTGGGTGATGGATCCCAGAAGGGTATTCCTGACCTCAAAACCCACGCCATGTTCCCTGTCTTATCTGGTGATTTCCACTGCTAAAAAAAGGTGAAATTTCTTTCCTTGAAAGATCATCAATCTGGCAGCCTCGTCTCTCAGTCTGGAAGAAAGATTCCATTTGCAGTCTGGTTACAGTAGTTCCAATATCGATGATCCTAGTGTTGCGTGCATCGTTAGTTTCTTGTAGGTGGCCAGAAAAGGCTGGTGTCAATGTCCTGACGTTCCAAGTGCCCAGCCTTTAAGCAGATTTCTTCTTTCTGTTGCATGGTGCAGAGTTGTCTATCCGTTTGTCGATTTTCACCCAAACCCCACACACACCCTGAGGTTAAAGGACCTTGGCGGTGCACCACCTTACCTACTGGGGGCTGCTCAGCTTAAGGCAGGCGGTAGCTGCCCAATGGGATGCGATGACCTCTCTCACCGTCGGAAGCAACCCCTGGCGTCACGCTCTGCACCAGTCGAACAGGAGACTTAAAACCGGTAGACTCCTGCTTCCCGTGTTAAGCCGATGCTGCATTGCGAATTTGGAGTGTCCTTTCCAGTGCGCGAAGTCTGGGTAGAGTGGATATGGTGGATAAACTGTTACACATGCCACAAATCCCCCCTCTGCGTCGCTGAAATGATCCAGTGAAAAAGCAATAGTCAATACGGTTGCTTCCGGCGCCGTCGTAGGATGTTGCCTGGACGTGACTGTATACAGCGGCGGGCTGCCGTTCGGGATTCCGGCTCCGGATTGGTACTCGGGGTCGACTCCTATAGCCTTTTCCAGGACTGGGTATGGCCGCAAGGCAGGGGAGGTTTTAAATCAGTTGTATTTTGCCTAGATGAGCTGCCTTCTCAGGCTAACAAGTCCCATCTGCGCGATGCAAATGGTTTTAAGGAGCAAGAGAAACCTGGCTTTGCCCTTTCTCCTGTCAGTAGAGGCAGGTTCGCCGGGCTCAGAAACTGAGCCACACGACCAGGCCAGGAGATGAACTTGGTTGTCGGAGGCTATAAGTACTCACGCCGTATGGGAGTACTTTATAGCTAATGGGAGCTTATCCCGGCAACCACCCCCGGCTATGACAACCCTTGAGCCCAAAGGGATAAGCCCAGTTATGTTAGTTTCAAAGTTTTTCGTATACTTAAAATTGGATCCTTTTATAATACCCTTTTCATTCTTTGAGTCAATTATACAATGAGACCATCCGAGACCGTGGAGAGAATTCCATCGCATGGCGCTAGTCTTGAATTGATAGTTGCCGCGATGTTTGCCTTTGAAACCACTTTTCCGAAAAAAAACGGCTTCTTGTTAAGATTGTGAGCACAATTCTTTAGTTTCGAAAATTGTTAAGTTAAAGTTGAGAGTCACCTTCTGAGAAGAGGTGCTTGCTAAAGATCGAAATTATAGCGTTATTTTATTCGTTTCAGCAATGTAATACAGATGTATGCTGAATTTACTTGACTTTTCTGTGGCTGGCCTTTGACGTCCTTCGATCATATCCAATTCAGACTCTTATCTGAGTAGTAGGGAAGTCATTCAAGCTGCAGTAGTCGTCACATTTGTCAAAACCTTTGTCACGTTACCCTTCCTGCAATGTTGATTCACGTTTTGCCCATTTGCCAAACTCTGACGCGAATCGCAGCTCTGAGGAAGGAGGCGCCCCATGTAAGGGTATCCAAGACTGTCTTGGATTCTGGATTCAACGCGGTGGATTTCGGATTCCTGTTACTGGATTGCGGATTCTTTGTCAGTGGATTCCGGATTCCAATCGTTAGTGGGATTCCGCATTCCAAAGCCAAGAATACCGGTTTCCGCAAGCAAAAATTTCCCGGAATACGGATTCCACAAGAATAATTTTTACGGATTCCGGAATCCCTATCCCTTTACGTGGGCGAAAGGAGCGAAGGAGTCAATTGGCACAGCGTGGTACAGAGAAAAGATAGATCAGTAGGTTGAGAAGGTGTGACATGAAAAAACCTCAGCTTTCTTCTGGTCTTTCAACAAAATTTGACGAATGGCTTAGGTGAGTTATTCGGTGTGCACCTGCCTGCGTTGTCTCCCCGGGTGATGCCTTTGAGTCCTGAGTTTATTTAGTGTAACAGGTCAAAATAATGCTAAAAACACATCAACTTGACTAGAACATTCTAATTTGGGGTAATAAAGGAGAACGGTAGCCTTCTTTTGTTGGAGGTACATGTAAACAGACGTTGTAATCTGTTACATAGTTCTGGAAGCCATAATTTGCAATGTTTTACTTTATGGTTTTTGAACTGGCCATGATTGACGTACTTATGGCATTATCAGTCAAAAAAGAATTCCCGATTATTTGGAGGAAGATCTCATGACAATTTCTTCGCGTTATTAAGTAATACATGTGATAAAATGTTAAAGTACAAAACAGAATCGTTGACAAAGACAGGTATGGATTGTGAGTGAGACAGGTAAGACTCTAGACTCGACTTTGATGACTATAGGGCGATTAATAAAGTAAAGCTTTTGATTACGTACATGGTTTAATTGAGAATCAGCATCGCTAAATAATTATTTATAACTTGACTTCAGTTTATGACTATAGCTTCCGTTGAAAAAA